TTTTCTTTTGGAATTTTAGGAAAAACGATAACAGATATATATTTTTTTCAATTTATAATAATTACAAACTTACAGGAAAGTTTTACAATGATACCAATGATCTATTACTATACCGAAGTATTTACTATGAAGGCTATTCTGAAATTTTTACATATTCGTTCTTGACATTTATACACGATATTGATTCATTTTTGTATATAATCGTTTGTAAAATAATGACATTTGACGATTTTTAATATAATTTTTTACAAAAGTTTGTATACAATTTTTTAAATTGACTTGTATTAGAAGAAAAATTGTTTTAATTTTTCTTCGATTTAGAATCACGTACAAAGATGTACAAAATGTCCCATTTTAATTTATGTAATTTTTATATCTTTTAGTACAAAGTGTAAAGATTTATTCTACACAAAAATTTTATTTTAATTTGATAAAAATATAAATTGTTTTGTTTCTTACGATTAATGATATAATTGATAATAATGATTTTAATTCAATTCACTTGATCTATTTATAATAAATAATAATCATTTTAAAGAAAAAACAGTATTAATACGTAATACACAATAATGTTGTTTATGAATTCAAATTAAAATTGTTAAAAATTACAGATTCTGTGTGCAAACTAGAAAATCACAGGAACTAGAAATATTTTAATAATCATGGCATTTTCAATAGATGCGAGATAACTCTTAAGGATCGGTATGTATTCATATAAGAGACAAAGTGTTTCTTTAACTTGAGTTTTATCATTGAGCTCAAGGTATAAGCAAATAGTCAAGGAATAGTGTCCGTTGATTTTATCTTGAATTCTAAATGATTTTTAAAATAATTTTTCTTTGGATACTTTTCCTTGAAATAATCTATAATTCGAAATGTATTTATTTAACTGAATTATAAAGTAAGCAAAATATAGATAAATATTTAATCAAAGTATCGAGAGTATTGACTGATTGCGAAATTTTTGATATAACAAAGATAATAATTTTAAAAGAATTGCACTAAAATTTTATATTATAATAAATATAATATAATATTATAAAATATTATAATATAAAATTTTAAATAAATTAATTTAATTCATAATTTTTATAAATAATAATTTCTAAAGATATGTTTGTGAAATAAAATAAAATAAATCTTGTTAATTTAAAAATATATAGAATGGAAAGTAAGTTTTTAAAACCTATTATTATTATAATATTTTTGCAATCATTCAATATCTTTCTTGATATTAAACATTGTAATTTTTAAGAAAACTATACTTTTTAAAGTTGGTTTCATAAAAATTATAGTAAAAATTGATGGTGCTTCTGTATTCCAACGAATACAATAATATGCCCCGTAATAGCGTTGATCATTATTGCGTTGTAGCTATATAATATTTGACAATACAAAAAAATATTAGAGTAATGTAATTATTATAAGAAAACATTGTGAAATTTGTATCCTCAATTTTTGTTTCATTTTTGCAATTTTTAAATAATGAATTAGTAGCAAAATATGTAATTTCAGAAAATTATTATTCATTTATTATACTATTTTTTGCTAATTTTAATAATATAAAAAAATGATAATTTTATTTAAAAATTTTGAAATAAATTTTAATTTTTATTTAATTATAATTGCATAAAATATAAATTTTAATTTAGAACTCATTTTTATTGAAAAAGAAATAATTTTATATACATATATTATGTATAATATATTTTTTTTAAGATTTAATAATCGTTATTAAAGATGTAATTAGAACATATAAATAATTATAATCTATATAAGAAATCCAAACTTATGACAATGATAAAAATCTTATGTCAAGAATTAATTGAGGAATTGTTATGTATACGTATCTTTTGAAATTTAATACTGAACAAGTTTTTATAAAAAAAAAAAAAGTGAAAAGAATGGACTTGTTAAGAGTGCCTTGTTATATCTCTATTACTAATATGCAAGTATTAATTATTATCAAATTAAATATCGAATGTTTATTTTACTTAAATATTTCCTTAAATGAATCGATTTATTATTAACACAGCTACAATAATTTTCATTTTAGTGATATATCATTAAACTTTATATTATTTGGAAACGCATAATGTTTAAGATCTAAATAACTGAAATTATTACGGATATTTTTCTATCTAAGTACTCAAAGAAAAGAGGATTATAATTATAATATTTATTAATTATAATAGATATTACTAACAATATGATTAAATACGACAATTGCTACTTTGTATATTTATAAGTCTTGGATAGTAATGCTGTCCATTGACATGTAATTTTATATCAATCTTTGTAATCATTGTAGATATTTTGTGTAATGTATTTTTTATTAATATTTATTAAAAACACATTTTGATATTAAATTATCAGAATTCATCGTGGAATTCTTCTAAAAGTGTTTCATAAAACAAGTCAATAAAATCTAAATACTATTTTCACTTTTATATTTGTTTTTCTCTTTTCTACCTTATTTTTTGATTATTTTATAAATATGCTCTCATAAATATCATTTATTTTTGTATATGCTGAGTTTTAGCATTTACCAATATGTGTAATACAGATTCTATTTCATCGAAATAATATTTATTTCAATAAATCACAACTAAATGTTTGATAATGATAATAATTGTTCCAATTATAATGATTGATATTAAAATTAAATTTTAATTCAATTTCAAAATTACAAATATGAAACAGAATAAATATACATATATTTTGTTATAATGTATCTTGTATACATATATATAAAATACTGCATTTTATACATAATTATATAAACATATTTAATTAATAATTAATAATTAAATATATTTAAATATTTAATTAATAAATTATATAAACATAATTATATAAACCATTATGAAATAGATAATTGCAATAATGATATTACGTATAATTTTTCAATTATAAAAAATTGTTTTTAATTAACGAAGATTAAAAATAAATTTTTATATTGTAATTAAAGATTAATTATTAAGATATTTTAGGAAAATATTTTTAAAAATCAAAAAAAAATATTTATATTTTTTGCACTTAAGATTAAAATACATTATATTAGTTTTTAAAGAAAAATAAAAGCATGAATATTCAATGAATATTTCATATTTCATTTGTAATTACGCGCCAAAAGCAAATGTAGACAAGAAAAACAAATAAGAAAAGGATAGAGATAGATTAAAAATTATGAAATCAGCGCCATCTCTAGAGTGCCGCAAATGAAACTAAAATAGACAAAAAAAACATAAGAATTAACTATCAATGCCATCTCTTGATTATTTTTAGAAAATTGTTTTTATCATTCAAAAGATAATGCTGATTTTAAATTTTACTCTATTTTATCTTGTTTTTAAAGAAATATCTGATATTATGGAGATGGCATTGATTTCAATATTTTTATTACCTTTTTCTTTTTTTGGTTTATTTATATTTGGTCTATAAAATTTATACGTAACTGCGTATATGAATAATTTTAACAATTAACAAATGTCGATACTGCTTAATACCTGTAATTAAAACCAGAGGGCAATATTAGTTCTTCTAAATTCTGTTTTGTCACAGTTAGAGCATAAACGAGCATAACAATGGATGCACGTAGAAGAGACAGAGAGCAAATTGGATTATGTGGTGTTGACAGAATTTGGGGAAAATCGCCAACACGAATCGAAGAGTAAGAAGTTATAATAATTTGTATTATTATTATTCAAATTATTTTATCAATAAGATTGATAATTTTAAATAATTTATTTTTTATAATGATATTTCATTCTCAAAAATTATGATATATATAATAAATATTGTATAATTGAAACAGTTCTGATGAAGATGAAGAAATTAATCGATACAAAGACAACATTATGCCAAGAATTAGAAAAAGAAAACAAGAAATGAAGAAGAAGGTATGAAAGTATAATTTGATATTTTTATTTCTTTAATAACTAACTTTTTTTATAATACTTTCAATATTTTTTTTATAAAAATTTTATATGAAATTTATTTTGTTTATAATATCCTTATAATAATTACTTATCTTATAATAATTACTACTTTTAACATATATTATTTTATTATTTTTTATTATTTCATTGTTCTAGAAAAGTAAAAAATTAAAAAAAGAAAAGAAAGCTAAAAAAGAAAAAAAGAAAAAATATAAAAAGAAAAAGAAAAAATCAGATAGTAGTTCTGATAGTGAATTGGAGGAATTGGAATGGGTAGAAAAAAATGGAATTAATGACAAAGCAAAGATTAAGAAAGGATCAAGTTCAGATGAAAGTGGTGATGAAGGCATAGTAGGCCCAGTTCAGAAACCACATGTGACATTATCTGCTAAAGATTTTGGCAAAGCTCTTTTGCCTGGTGAAGGTGCTGCTATGGCTGCATATGTTGCAGAAGGAAAACGTATACCTAGAAGAGGTGAAATTGGTTTAACTTCTGAAGAGATTGCTGCATATGAAGCTGTTGGTTATGTTATGAGTGGTAGCAGGTAAATCATTCTATTAAATATTCTTAATTAAATTTCATTAAAATATAATGAAACTCAATAATAGATATGTATTTTAATATTAATATTAATATTTATTTCAGACATCGACGAATGGAAGCTGTTCGTATCCGAAAAGAGAACCAGATTTATTCTGCTGATGAGAAACGAGCATTAGCTATGTTTAGTAAAGAAGAACGACAAAAAAGAGAAAATCTTATTTTGGGACAATTTAGAGAGATGGTTAATCAAAAATTGGCACAAGAACAAAAAAAGAAAATAACATGATTGTTTTATATAAAAATAATATCTTTGATAATGTATATAAAATTCTTGAATGTATTATAAAATTAAATATATATATATATATATATACATTAAAATATATTATCTACTTATTATTAGTTAATTATACATTATATGATACATTAATTGCTATGAAAAACAAATTAAAAAATTTTCATTTTATGAATAATATTAAATTATTATTAAACATTTTAATTAAAACACAAAAATATTATTTTTTAATTTGCTTTTATTTTTTACTTCTTCTTTCCCAATCCCGCCATCCTCCGATATAATTATAGGTACTATAATAAATAAATATGATTAATTATATAGTAAATCTATAAAACATTATGAACTATATATTTTTTAAATTAATATATTTTAATATAATAGTTAATTATACTTTTTATATCCAAGTTTTTGCATTTGTTTCTGAATTATACCACTTCTTCTTCCAGCTCTACAGCAAAATATGATTTTTGTATTTTTGGAAGGTTTCTCTTTGTTAAACTTATTTTTAAATTCTTTATTCGAAAAGTTTATCAATGTATTTTCAACATCAGACACTATAATAATATAATTCATTATAACAGCTATTTAATATTTTTAAAAATAATTATTTCTGTTAAAACATACTTGGTATATTAATACTTCCAGGTATTTTTCCAGTTTCACCAATTTCTTCTTTTTCTCTAACATCAATAATTAAAATATCACGGTCTCTTTGAGCTCTTAAAATATCACTATAACCAACATCATATGATTCTTCAGACATGATTTTATTGTTAAGAAGTGAAGTTGAAAATTGTGAGATAGCTTGAACTAAAAAATAATACATTTGATTTTATATTTTTGACTGTAAATAAAATTTTATTACATTTACATGATATGAAACATCTTTATGATTTGTTTATTAATAATAATAATAATATTAATTTAAAATATACAATGAAAATTAGAATAAAAATGACCTTTCATATTTTTTATAAATTGTTAAATAAATGACTTCGCAAATACTTCTTTTTTTTTGTAAATTACCGTAAGGAAATATCCTATATGAAGAGATTTTTAACAATTTATTATAAATATTTTTTTCTGGTTTAATAAACATATTATGAAATAACAATTTAAAAAATATAGGTTTATAACACTGACGTAATTTATTAAAATTCATAATTATTAATCTATTCACAATCATATAACATGAATTCTACATAAATTATTTTATAACATAATATAAATATAAACACATAGATGTATATATAAATATATATATATATATGTATATATACATAAGCTGAGTTCTGATAAAAATTATCTTTATATTATAATATTATTTACATTAAAATGATTATTTCTAATGGTTTTAATATAATTATATTTGTTTATATTAATAATTATATTAATAAATGCAAATATTAATAACATTATTTAATATTATTCAATAATCAATTTTGACTATTATCCTATACCAATGGATGCGACTTAAATATTTGTATTATGTAATATAATAATGAAAATTGTCTTGTTTTTTTCAATTATATATATTAAAATGTATTTTTATATGACAATGTTATTTAAAATATTATATAAAATTATATCATAAAATTATATTATAATCTATTATAAATATTTATGTATGTATAGTTTGCGTACATTGACAGAACAATGAACTTGACATAAATATTTTATTTAAGAATAAAGAATGAAAACATTGATCAATATACGAGAAAAAAAGGAATTGTTACATTTATTATAAATATAAATATAAAAAAAATATACAATAATAAAAAAAAAATATATAAGGATGACATTCTCCATACATTGCTTTTTAGTGATTCATCTACAGATGAAGAAAAAAATTGGAAAACTTTAGAAGAGTCAGGAAGAGCGTATCCCGCTTTCGTATACGTCGCACCCTGATGAGGAATGCAGGAACTAATAATTTTTATTTCTCGTGCGTGGAGTTGTAAAGTGTACTAATTTATTGAAATAATTACGACACTCATCCCGTTTTTGCACTTTCGCATAATGTGAGTAATCGGACATTAAATTGATAGGACCATCTGCTTACATTTCGATAACATATAAAAAATTTTTGTTGGCTATAGTTCGATATTATATTTTTTGTTTATTTATACAGCCCTTTAAGTTTAAAAATTTGTAAAAAATATAAAAAATCGCGTGCAAAAATAGCGTTTTCGATTTTGCAACATGGAATATATTGATGAGTTAAATTCGTAAGACTTCGAATACTTTCTCATTACAATGTTACGCATCAACGAAAAATTCAATATCTCCGGATTATCAACATTCCAGAGTGTTGACACCTCTGTCAGAGTGCTCTGCTTTACCATTATTATAACATCACCATCTCTTTCTTTAATATTGACTTCTTATAATTCTCTCTCAATTTCTTGTTTTCGAATGCCGCGTAGTGTCAAATACAAGAATGCATGAATAGGTTTACATTTTCATTGGTTTTTAACGTGTAAGGATAGGAAAATGATTAATTTATGAGATTAATAATTTGTATTTTTCTCGTTCACATTTTCGATGAATTTTGAGACAAAATATTTTTAAATATTTATTTAAGTGTATAAAAATTCTTGTATAAAAATAAAAATTTATGTTTTACAAGAACTTATATCGATAAATCTATTTTTATTAATTTTTCTAATATGTAGTTATATGAATGTGCATAAAGCTTATTGAAGTATAATAAATCAATTTTTGTAAAATTATTTTTTCTTAGAANTGATTTTATATATTTCATGAACAATTGTGAAAAAAATAATTTTATACATTTACAGATAAAATATAACAGGTGTAAATGAAACAATAGAAAAATGAGTTCTTTGCAACAAGGTAGCAGATTTTTACCTTTTTCAAATAATAATATACAAAGGAAGCAACTATCAATGCAAGGTATTAGAAAAATTTGAAATTTGTTTTTAGAATTGCTTTTGAAAATTTATTAATATTTTTAAGATAATGAAATATTAAATATAATAAAATATAATATGAAATTTCAATTTATATACAAGTTTATGAAATTATAATTTTTTAAATATTTTATATTCATTTATTAGGTGGTCTTCCACAAAGTTTAAGTGGTAGTGAAACTGATGTTTCAACTTCAAATGAGAATCTAACCAATGAAGATCGCTATGTTATAAGACATACAGCTCGCCAAGAACCTCAAGGTCAAGAAAATCAGCAGCAAAGTCCATCCAGATCTTCCAGTCATAAAGAAAACATACCAAATATACAAGTATGTATAATTATATTTATTTCTAACTATTTATTAATTGTATATTTTTAATAATTTTATTGATAGTAATTTAATATTAATCATATATATATATATTTTTTTGTATTTTTTTATTTTTATTGATCACTTTTGTGCATCATATATTTTTATTCCCTCTTATTATCTTTGAGATAAGTGTAGACATTCTTTAATGCCTAGTTATTTACCCATATTATTCTTACGTATCTTAAATTGCTACCTGTATTATTAAGTTACATAAGTGTAAATTACTTTATTGCAATCTAGGGTAACCTGCTCAACAGAAATAGTTTAAAGGACAGTTTGAATGGTTCAAACAGAAACAGTTTAAAAGAGAATTTAAATGGTTCTAATCGAAATAGTCTTAAAGACAGCATTAATGGTTCTAATAGAAATAGTTTGAAAGATAATTTAAGTAATCGTACCAGTGTAGGTTCAAATAGAAGTAGCTTAGATGTGTCTACAAGCTCCTACAATACACTTATAATACATAATGCTAATGATGATAATTCATGGGTACCATCTGGAAGGTAATATATTTAAATATATATTTATTAAAAAATATATATTTTTAAGAAAAAATTATAGAATAATTAGAATTAGATTTATATTTATAATTTTATATAAATATTTTGTAAATATTGATATTTAATTTTAGGCTGTCAAGTGTAGTAAGAGAACATGGAGATATGGGTTATTTATATTGTGATGCTGGTGGAAAAGGACATTCAAATAGTCCCACTATGCAATCTTTATCAAATTTAACTCATGAAGATCATATTTATGAGCAATCTAATAATGGAGGATGTCAAGAAATAACAGATATACCAGATGATTATCTCAGTCAATCACAGGTGATTATCATAATTTGTATTTTAGTAATAATATATAACAAATGAATATTCCATTTGTAAAAAAATTATTTTATTATAATTTAAATTTTATTAAATATAATTAATTCTTTATTATTTTATTATTTTACTTTAATCAAACCAAGCAGGTATTAAAACATCTTGCAAAAGAAGTTAAAGTACCATCTTATAGTAAGTTAACAAATAATGGAGGAAATATTGATATGAGAATGAGAGATGGTGATAGAGGGAAACAAAATGATAGTGAGTCAGAAGATAGACCACCACCTTCATATATGTCTGTTTTATTACCTTTAAAAAATAAATCTCGACTTCTTGGACCAATGGAAAAATTGACATTATCAAGATCACAACCTGATTTGTCTAGAATTGGCAAACCAGATATTGATAATTATAATTTACGGGCGACTTCACCACGGTAATTTAATTAAATTGATTATTGAAATTAATTAATTTTTGATAAATCAGAAGTAATATTTTATATTTAATATTTTTATAGACCTCAAACAAAAGGAAGAGAAGAAACAGAATCTGTAACAGGTGAAATTTGGCCACCATCAGAAATGATACAAATTGTAATCCAAGAAAATAGTGCCTTAAAACTAGAATTAGAGCGGTGTTATAACAAAGTTGCTAAATCTCAAAAGTTGGAACAAGAAATTGCAAAAGTGCATAGGGCTCACGAAGAATTGGCTGCGTCAAGTGAACGAAGAGAGAAACTGGAACGAGCTGCTAGATTGAGATTACAAAATGATTGTAGACGATTAACCGAATTAAATCGTGCGTTGCGAGATCAAATAGATTTATTATCAGCACGTACTGATAGTCCTCCGATCGTGGAATCTATGAGAAAAGAATTAACGCAACGAGAATTATTAATTGGCCAATTGATTACACAAAGTATTTTAAATATATTTTACTATTTATCGTCATTCAGTTCATTATTTTAACCATATTTATTTTTATGTTAGATAAAGAACTAGCTGCGGCGAAAGAAAGACAGGAAATCGAATTAGCAGCACAAAGAGCAACGTTACAGGAACAACGTACACATATAGATATTCTAGACACTGCTCTCACTAATGCACAAGGCAATGTAGTGCGTCTTGAAGAAGAGGTAATTTTTTATTTATTTTTCAATAAATTGTTTCATATTTCATATTTTATATTTACAAGTTTTTTTTTTATATTTATTTTTTTTACAGTGTCGAAAAAAACAAGTATATGTAGAAAGGGTAGGTCAACTTCAACGAGCTTTGTCTTCTCTTCAAGCATCCAGCGATAGAAGAGAAGAAACAGAAAGACAGTTGAGAGGTCAATTAGAACGGGAATTAAGAGAAGGCGGAGGTGGCGGTGGCGGTGGTGCTAATGGCAATGAACAATCTTCTAATGGAGAAACAATCGCAGAGTTAAAACGACGAATACGCGAAAGAGATGAAAAAATTATGTCACTGGAAGGTGACGTTGCAAAATGGGAACAACGTTATCTCGAAGAAAGTGCTTTAAGACAAGCAGCAATTGATGCAGCTAGTTTACCAAAGTAAGTTAATAATTTTAATAGCTAGCTAATAATTTTTTTTATTATATTCATATTAATTATAACTTATTTTTTTGAATAATTAGGGATGCAAAGATAGCTGCGTTAGAAAAAACGAGTCAAGATGCAGAAAAATTAATTGCAGAAGCACGATCCGAAAAAATGAGACACATGGATGAAGTTCATGCTGCACAAAAAAAATTGGCTGATCTTGAATCTAGGTAATATTATTATTTCACATAGTGATTTATTTTTTTTATGATTGTAATGTAGTTTTTTTATGTTCTATTTTGGATTCTAATGATTTTTTGTTTCATAGAATGAAAGATCTAGAATCGAAGTTAGCTGAAAGGGATGCAATGATTAGAGTTCTTCAAAAACATACATATGATAAGGATAGTAGCAGCAGTAGTGGTGTTGGTAGTTATCCTGCTGCACATTCGTCTCATTCAAGTACATCAGCGGATCACCACACTGCATTGACAAGTACACCAGA